TCAGAACATGCTGATCCCGCAGCAGAGGAGCGAAGTGCTGTGTCACCTTCCACACTGTGAGAAGCTCCAGCACGTTTATGTGGAGAGACATGTGGTCTGGCCACTGGGCTCCCACTGCGACAGTGACGCGTTGGTGAACACTGAGACGTGTGACGTAGGTTGTACTGAGGGGAACTTCCTCTAACAGATTCTGGAGATTTCCCCAGTGGGCGAGGTCGGCTCCCACTGAAGGAGGAACAGAGATCATGCGTCTTTTCTAGCGAACAGAATCTATGCGCAGGCGGGTGAACCATCTTTGAAAGCGTCTCATGTGAAGCAGTCCCAGCGGAATAACCACGTGAGCTGCTGACATCATTCCCAGCAGTCGCATAACTGACAGGGCTGTCACTACACTGTGAGGATGGAGCAGTGCTGACAGTGCATCTGCTCTCGGCTGTGATAATCGAGCTCTCATTGTGACTGAGTTTAACTCCACTCCGAGAAAAACGATCGTCTGGGACAGAAGAACTGAGCTTTTTCCCCAATTTATGGAGAAACCCAATTTTAGCAGATGTTCTGCAAACTTCCTGGTCTGCACAGCTGCTTCTTCTCTGGAGTGAGCCAGTACAAGCAGATCGTCCTGATAAAAGAGGATTCTCATCCCCGCCATGCGCAATGACTCCAGTGCTGTTTCCACACATTTGCAGAACGTGCGAGCAAGAGAGTAGCCGAATGGCAGGCAGTTGTACTGATATGAAATCCCCTCAAAGGAGAAACGCAGATGCTTCCTGTGTTTGGGAATGACGGGGATGTGGAAATATGCGTCCTTCAGATCTACGGAGGTGAACCAGTCCTTCTGGTGAACATTTTCCAGCATCTATCTGATTGTCAGCATGTGGAATTGTCTCTCCATAATCGATTTGTTGAACACGGACAGATCGAGAATTGGTCTCATTCCCCCATTTTCTTTGGGACTAAGAAATAGCAGGAATAAAAGCCCGTGTTTTCCTCTCTGTGACGAACCCTGGAAATGACGTTTTTCACAGCTCTGCTGTGGGGACCGTCTCTATAATCCTTCTGAATGGAGGAGGGTGGGTCGCAAACTGCAGGGTGTAACCCTTGCTTATTAGCCGATCCATCCACCTGTCCAGGGAACATGCGCTCTGCCACTCTGAGTAGCGCTCTGTGAGCAGGCGCGCATTTGCCAGCTGTGATGTGGTTCTCATGGACACCAGCCAAGAGAGAGCCCCTACCGCTGTCCCTTGTCTCGGAGACTTTCCAGGGCTGACCCATGGGGGACATGGACAGAAAGGGCTGTCCTTTGGCCTTTATGCAACGCTTAGGTCCCAGGCTCATGTCAGGACTGAGATCACTCCTCGCATAGCGAGAGGAGGCGTCAGTGTAGGTGCGACGTCTTTTCAGGGCAGGCTGTTGCTGCAGAGGCTGGAAATTTCCTTCACTAACACTGTGTGAAGAGAGAGGAGAAGGAGAAGCACGACTCTTCGTGGGCTCTGATAGAGCGCAGAGAGCTTCTCTGGATTCAGGCTGCTCAGAAGAGGCAATGTTAGTTGTAGAAACTGTGGTGCTGCGGCTCCTCTTAAAAGACAGTTTAGAGGATGCAGACCCACTCTGTGTGGGGAATGTGTGCGGAGGAGTTGCTCTGAGATCAACTGATCTGACAGGCAAGCTGGAATCTGATGGAATCTTGCTCTTAAAAAAATGTTTGTGTTTTATTTCAAAACATTTTCCCACATATTTAAATTCGCACACATTCCCCTGAAGAAGTCATGTCCCCCCATCCTGCGGCTGATGCTGACGGGCTCTTGGCAAACGCTGAGCCACGGGTTGCCCCACAGGGAAAAACTGCTGAGGATGAGAGGAGGAGGTTGATGGTGGGGCACTGTGGGAGGCTGCAGCAGTGGTGGCGCACCTCTGATGCTGACGCTGGCCGCGGTGATCCTTACAGCGGCCATAGAGACGAAGGGTGCGGGAGTCGGGCTGTGGCCGCACCAGATGACGTACAGTCTCTGAGACCTCATCAGTTTTCTGTGACTTCTCCAGGATCGTCTGGAAGTTGGGACTGAATAGCGCATCTGGAGTGATGGGACCTTCCAGCATATCCTTCTGTAGATCCTCCGGCATCGAGGGTGAAAGGCGAAGCCAAGTGGCTCTCTGAACCAGCGTTGATCAGGCAGCAATGCGGGAAAAACACGCAGCTAAAGTTGCACACACGTTCAGGATGGCATCAGCGGCCTTGCAGATAAAGCTTTTCAGCTCTTCTGGCAGGTCAGCTTCCTCTGCCTTTTTGGAGATACCAAATGCTAATAAGGCAGTGTTGTTCGTAGCCACAGCCGACTGGAACGCGCATTGGTGGGCGCGGTCAGTGAACATCATGACCAGCTGATCATGTTTGGAGGGAGGGACAGGTCGCTGTCCAACGAGCCTGGACATTTTCACTCCAAACACCTTAGCAAGGCTGAGCTCCAGAGAGAAGCAACAGAAGGTATCAGTGGCTGAAAATTCCCTGCCAGATCCAAGAAAGCTCCCCTCTATTCCTGTTGAACATGGACATAAATGCATGGAGTTTCAGGAACCCGAAAATCGTGAAGGCGAAGCAGTGATATGTCCACGTGTTGGTAGTAAAACTGGCTCTCCACAGCATTCCCCTCCTATTCCTAGGACTGTTTTGTCATTCTCGTGCCAGCAAGGTCATTCTTCACCAGGCCCAGCTCCTATACCTGCTTCTTGTATGCACAGAGTAAGCAGCCACAATCACCTACTTGGCCTTATTATGAGCAGAATCAGATGCCAAAAGCCCAATTTGCCTCTTCAGGTTTCTGCTACAGTCCATCAGTCCCAGTTTGGTCGTCATCTGGGCAAGGACAGTTCCCACCACTGGCTATTCCTGTAGCTTCATTGCATCAGTGCTGTACACCACCACTTCATGCATCAGCACCGGCACCTGCTGCTGATGTAGCAGTATCTTTAACATCAAATCAGCTTTCAGCAAACATAAATCATCACGGGAGGTGGAGACAGAATAGTGCAGAACTAGAAGACCAGGATTGTCTGCCAAGGGGGAAGCCTCTCAAAAAAGCGACAATGGAAACCAAACTACCACTATCAATGTTCAGTTTGTGGTCAGGCCAAAAACAGAAGCAATGGACATACACAGATTAGGGGAAAGTGGTACTGTCCAGCCTCTGGACAGACCTTTTTGCAATGGAAGGAAACTTATACCAAGCAGTGAAAGCTAAGAAGGATTTTCTTTGTGTAATGCTTAGTTTGTTACTCTGATGTTCTAATGCAAAATGTTTTCAGCCATTTGATCGACACTGTCTTTTGTTTAACACTAGAACTCCCAGGGCCGTCAATTTGACGGTTTTGAAAGTTTGACATGCCATAACTCTGGTTTATTAAAACTCTTATCTTCCTGGCATCCTGACTTTTTCTAAACTGTCTTGTGTATCCCTATGTCTCTATTTTAAAAAAATAACAAAGTAAATAAAAGATCTAAGTATTTCTACCTCTAACTACCACAGCCGCTATTTTGACGGCCCTACTATTTACATTGATTTTATTTTTTTTTTCTCCCGGCTGAGTATGCATATGTTGCCTAGCAACCGCCACTCTAGAACACAGTATAAGGAGATTGTTGACACCCTACAAATGGCTTCCAGAAGGATATTTTCTGCTCAAGATGCATTGGACATGCTTCAAAAATTAGATGATTGTGATTCTGGGGTTGAGAGGGATTCTGACGCCTCTTGGTCAGCATTCAGTTCCAGTGACAGCGGGTCAGAGAGTGAGCCTTCCCCGGCTATAAAGCACGAGTCGTCCCATTAGCAGGAGGTTGTGGCGCGTTATTTCAAGGCAGTAGAAGACTAGCCTATGTAATGATTTTATCATTTTAGGCTATAGTTTATAGATTAGTAAACTAATAATATATAAATTGTAGCAACAGTGCCACAATCAGCGCAGATTCAGAGACAGGGAGACGAGCCGGTGCCCAGCTACAAACCTAGTAAACCAGCTCACTGGCAGGAGAGAAACTAAAAACCAAGGTACTGATAATGGGAAAAAAAATAAACAATAAGTTAGGTCATAGATATAGTAGCCCAGTAACAACAATCTATTCTGCGCTTTACAGCGTTTTCATCACAAGACGAGCGCACACTTGGGAAAGAGGAGGAGATAGGAAAGGACAGTGGTAGGGGAGGAAGAAAGTAGAGGGAGCCGTCAGAGCCAGAATGCATTGACAGAGTGCCTGATCCAAGATGCCCAGACCGCTTTCCTCTGCTTGATGGATGCCGAAATGCTCATCCACGTTCAGGGCTGCAGAGTTTTAGGAGATGATTTCTCCTCGGACATGAGTGTGGATTAGCTGAAGGCATTTTTCGCACTAGTTTATTCCCCTGAAGTGAAAGTGGGGCGTCACATGGAGCTGTCCAGCTTTTGGTCAGATTAGTAAAGCTTTTTTTAAAAATCTACCTACTACTCTGTATTATTTTTCAGTACTATTTATAAATAATAATAAAACATAATAGGTTTTGATAAAATACTATTGTTAATTCTTGTCAAAACCATAATTTTATAGCGTGCAAGAAAACCTTTAGCATTCTGACCAATGTAATGCAATGACATCATCACCGCCCTCGCATCCAGAATGCTCGCCATCAAATTGACGGGCTTGGGAGTTCTAGTAGCATTAGAATTCTGGGAGTCCTAGTGTTAAACAATTTTATTTACACTTGATGTGCTCACTCCAGTGCTGACTCAGTTGGAAAATGTGTGAAATCTGGAATATGAATTTCACAGTTGGTGCCTGTATGTTTTAGTCAGCCTTTGGACAGTGCTTTACACATGTCCACTTATAGTGACTGATCAGTGTACATGGTTGTGTAAGAACAGGTTTAATAAATGTGGCTGATCATAATTTGTAGTTTTTAATTTATAGTCTTTTTTTCTTTCCCCCTTCCTTCCCCCCTCACCCCCCTCTTTAGCAGTCTCTTTCGCGCCATTTTTGGCCGAGTGGTTAAGGCGATGGACCGCTAACCCATTGTGCTCTACATGCATGGGTTCGAATCCCATCCTCGTCGTCTAATTGTTGCTGTAATGAATCTGAGCCCTGGAATGAATGGAAACCTCTCTTTCTGGTCTCACTTGAATGAAAGCACAAGCTTTCAGTTGTGTACTATCTTGGCTTGTTGCATGAAAAGTACTAATCTAGAAGTATATTCTATAGCAACAGGCAATATGGCTTGTGTCATTGATATTGATAAATTGCCTGGTCGTTCCCTCTACTATAAACTTTACAACAATGTCAAGAGTTCCAATCAACAAAGTTAAAAGAAAAAAACAACATACAGTACTTCTGTTTATCTGGTGCATGTGTTAAACCTATTGGCCCTTGTACAATAGACTGTGGTAGCTTACTCTATATTTAATCAGTATTTGTCTGAAGGTTATATGATGCCCATCATTGTCCCCCGAACAAACAATGGAAAATTATTGAAATTGTGAGGAATCGGCCTTTTTATAAATTTTCCACTCTTTTGTCACTCTTACATGTTTAAGGTCATCATACAAATATCTATTTTAAAGGTAACCTAAGCAAATACCTAATATAGTTTGACGACGATTTAATTTATTTTGAGAGGAAAGCTATATAAACCAATCTGACACTGTGTGAAAAAAGGTAATAGCTTCCTTTACCCAATAACTGGTCGTACCACCATTGTCAGCAACAGCTTTCCCACTGGAAGTTTTTGAAGGATAAAAGGCCTTTCTAAAATTTTGTCCTAAAGCCTCTTAATCCTAACTAAGTTTAGACATTGTAACATTTATTTTTCCATCTAACGCTCAAAGTGTTAATTACAATTACGCAAATTAAGTCACGGGCAGTGTTTGTAACTTGGGCAGTGTCGAGGTAGGAAAACTTTACTGGCCGTCCGTTAACTCTTATATTACTCCTCACCTCTCATCGACTCTTTTTACAGGTCCTTCTCAAAATATTAGCATATTGTGATAAAGTTCATTATTTTCCATAATGTCATGATGAAAATTTAACATTCATATATTTTAGATTCATTGCACACTAACTGAAATATTTCAGGTC